ATTTATTTGTGTCCTCTGCAATTTATTTCTTCAATGTCTTATAGTTTTCAGAGTACAAGTCTTTCCATTCCTTGGTTATGTTTATTCCTAGGTATTTTTTTCTTTTTGATGTATTTGTAAATGGGATTGTTTTCTTAATTTCTCCTTCTGATTGTTATTAATGTATAGAAATGTGGCAGATTTCTGTATATTAATTTTGTATCCTGCTACTTCACTGAATTCACTTATTCTATTAATTTTTTGGTGGATTCTTTAGGGTTTTCTATGTATAGTATCATGTCATCTGCAAATAGTGACAGTTTTACTTCTTCCTTTCCAATTTAGATGCCTTTTATTTCTTTTTCTTGTCTGATTGCTATGACTAGGATTTCCAATACTATATTGAATAATAGTGGTAAGAGTGGGTATACTTGTTTTGTTCCTGATCTTACAGGAAAAGTGTTCAGCTTTTCACCATTTAGTATATTAGCTATGGGCTTGTCATGTACACAGCCTTTATCAATTTGAGGTTAAGTTCCTTCTATAATCACTTTATTTTTTATCATAAATGGATGTTGAATTTTGTCAAATGATTTCACTGCATCTGTTGAGATGATCACATGATTTTTATCTTTGGTTTTTGTTGATGTGATGATGAATCATGTTGCTTTGCGAATGTTGAACCACCCTTATATCCCTGGTATAAATCCCACTTGATCATGGTGTATAATCCTTTTAATGTTTTGTTGAATTTGGTTTGCTAGTATTTTTTTGAAATTCTTTGCATTTACGTTCATCAGGGATATTGGCCTTTAAGTCTCTTTTTTTGTAATGTCTTTGTCTGGTTTTAGTATCAGAGTAATGCTGACCCTGTAAAATGAATTTGGAAGCATTCCTTCCTCTTCAGATTTTTGGAATATTTTGAGAAGGATAGATATTAATTTTTATTTTTTTATTTTTTTACGCCTACAGCACCTGGTCTTCCTAGGTGATCTCCCATCCAAATACTAACCAGGCCCAACCCTGCTTAGCTTCCCAGATCAGACGGGATTGGGCTTGTTCAGGGTGGCATTAATTCTTCTTTAAATGTGTGGTAGAATTTACCTGTGAAGCCATCTGGTCCTGAGTTTTCATTTTCTGGGAAATTTTTGATTGTTTCTTTAATTTTATTGCTAGTAATCAGTTTATTCAGATTCTGTTTCTTCCTTATTTAGTCTTGGAAAGTTGTATGTTTCTAGAAATTTACCTATTTCTTCTACATTGTCCAGTTCATTGACATATAATTGTTCGTACTTTCTTCAATGATCCTTTGTATTTCTGTTGTGTTGGTAGTGATCTTTTCTCTTTCATTTCTGATTTTATTTATTTGGGCTCTCTTTTTCTCTTGATGAGTCTTGCTGGAGGTTTGTCCATTTTATTTATCCTTTGAAAGACCCTTGGCTTGAAGACAGCCATTTTCTCACTGTGTCCTCAAATGGCCTTTTCTCTATCCTTGCAGGGGAAGGGTAGTAGGGGCATAGAGAGAGCAATATCTCTGGTGTTTCCTCTTCTTTTTGTAAGGACACCAATTCTATTGGATTAGGACCCCTCCCCGGTGACCTCATTTAAACTTAATTACTCGCTAAAGGCCCTGTCTCTAAACAGTCTCATTGGGGGTTAGGTTTCAACCTGTGAATTTTGGAGGGGACACAATTTAGTCCATATCACCTATCAAACATCAACAGCCCAAGATAACTACATAACAGCAAAGCAGAAAATTTATTTGTTTTGAATAAAGATGTCGTCATAAGCTATAATAAGTACTTCTAAAAAGCAACACCTATAGTAAATACATATACAGAATTAGACAAATTTTTCAAAAAGACTTCCTAAGTATTTTCTTTGAGAAACTGAAAACTCATAATATACATTTCTAATAACATTAGAATTGAGAATGTTCATTTCCTTTCAAGGGATCTTTTCTTGAAATTTCATGTTTTTTTCTTAGTAATAAATGTGAATCACATTAAACCTCAGAAGTTTGATTTTACAGTCCTATTTGCTCTAATAAGTTTTTATGTCGACAAACAAAAATTTTATTTTTTGTTATTATAACTGTTCTTATTATAAGCTATTA